AAAGGTAAGGAAAATAAAATATTACACAAATGAGTATTTTAAAGAACAGTAGTGGAGGACTCAAAAAAATATTGGTCCGAGGAATTAAGTTCTAATCCTCACTGTACCAATAACTAGCTGCTCAGTCTGTTTATACGTGGAAAATGGGTCCTTGGTCTCCTGAAAGTTAATTCCTTCTCTTAAAATATGTAAGAGGCTGGTATGTATGTATGTTTACATTATTTCTCCTAATGTATTTGTCTTTGAGTAAGAACTCAGAGTTCTACTTATATTTTAGAGTTAGCCAGTTTGTCATAATAGGTATAGATAGGACTTAAAATGGATTCTCTCCAGGGGCAAGGAGAGATTTTGAATGCAATCAAATATAGTTGTCAATTTATACAAGAAGTGTAAAAAACAAGTTATAATCCATTTTGCTCTATTATAATGCTGCTCTGGATATATTTCTAATGTGAAAATTTTAGTTTGCATTAATCATTCTGGATACCTATGCTCTGCTCATTTCTAGAATTGAAGCCAACAGTGTAACAGGATACAAATTTTTTATTTTTATTTTTTAAATTTATTCATAAGAGATACAGAGAGAGAGACAGAGACATAGGCAGAGGGAGAAGCAGGCTCCCTGTGGGGAGCCCAAATGGGGGAGTCAATCCCAGGACCCTGGGATCATGACCTGAGCCAAAGGCATATGCTCAACCACTGAGCCACCCAGGTGTCCCTGTAACAGGATACAAATTAAAGAAACCAAACATTCAGTTCTATACTCTGACATGTGTTATATGTCAAACCCGCAAACAATCCCATTCTGTATCTACCAGCACACTAAGAACCTCTAAATAAATACACTTTTGCAACTGTATATAGATAATTTTAGCTATTCAAAAAATAGGAACCGTCTTCTCTATCCTTCAGCTCAGCAACCCACATCACTAATCTTTTCTAATGGGTCTCAGTGGTGCTTGTTCCCCACAACTGTACCTTACACAGCAAAGTATCAGGTGTCTCAATGTCCATAGAGCAAACCACAAGAGAAATGTTTGTGGTCCATTGACTGTCCACTTCAGTTAAATAGGTTGTGAGGTGAAGTTATTTTCCACTGGGCCCAAGCTGAGGTGATCACTGACTGCAGAGTCTACTGACACTCCTGCCTTCCATGGTCATCAGCCTAAACACACTTGCTGGAAACCTCTACTGTACAGATTGTAAAAAGCAGCAGAGTGTCATTTGTAGACTTAACTCTATTTACCAAGAATATTCATTGGTAGAACAGGGAATAAAGCAACAGAAAAAATAAACACCTTCAAATATTTTTATTTCTAATGACATTTCTGCAATACCAAAGTAAAACTGACCTCCACATATATTTCAGGAAAAAATGCCTGGTTTTTAGAGACTACTGAACAAGGATTACTTAGCAGCTTACAAACAATTTAGTACTAAGAGTGTCAGTACACAGAATCACCCCAACTAAAAGGCAAGTGCAATGGTGTTTAGGTTCAATATTTCATTTGAACTCATTTAACAGCAAGTTTAAAATACCTCTCCCAATGACTAGGCAAAGGCATAACCGTATACTGTGTGTGCTCTCAGCTGACAGGCCCAGCAACTGAGATATTTAAAAAATAAAATAATAATAATTAAATAAAAATAAAAAATAACAAAATAAAATGGGTGCAATTATTCATGTTATTTTAATTACAGCTAATATAAATCTTTAAGAAAGAATAATTCATACACAACTGAAATCTATTATATTTTTAGTTGGACCGGAAATTTGCAATATTCTGTACTAAAGAATTTTTCACAGAGCTCTTTGATTTTTTTAAAAGATTTTTATTTATTTGAGAGAGAAAGAGAAAGAGAGAGAGCATAAGCAGGGAGCAGGAGGAGGGGTCCAGACGGACAAAGAATCCTGAAGCTGACTTCCAACTGAGCATGGGGCCCCCAGGCAGAGCTCAATCCCAGGACCTTGAGAAAATGACATGAGCCGCAGCCAAGAGTTGGACGCTTAACCAACTGAGCCACCCAGGCGCCCTGCAAAGCTCTTTAATTTTACAAAAATATCACTGAAGTGAAACATTATAAATTGAGGCTCTAAAGTGGAATGGCTTAATTTCAGATACATAGTTTGACTTCCTAGCTCTGTGATCTGTTGAGGTCACCTCATCAATACAATGAGGTGAATCACTGTTAAGAGCAGGTAAACACCTACAGTCACCTCACGTGTTGCCTGTGAGAACTTAGTTAATTCACAGATGTAGTAGTTCAGTGAAAATCCCTACAATATCCATGTAAATGAGGATTAGCTACTATTATCCTTTAAACAAACCCATCCTTGCTCTGAGCACACTAAACATTCTTATTTTCTTCCTTCTTCTGCCCTTCTCAACCTCTTTACTTGTCCTATTTTTCTCTCCCAAAACATCAAATGTTAAGTTCTCAGATTATTTAGACCTCGGTCCTCCTCTCATTCTATTCTTTCCCAGAAAGAATCTAATCTTACCCCATGATTTTAATTATCACCTAGAGTACAAAAACTCCCAAATGTGTATTTCTAATTCAGATCTGATACACATGCCAACTCAGTATCTCCACTTGGATGTCTTAGAGGAAACTCAAATCCATTATGTCTAAAAGCCAAACTCATCATTTTTGCCTTTAACTGTAAAGTTGTGTATCTCAGTAAGTGGCTCCGAAACTCACCCAGTTACCCAACCTAGAATCTTAAGAGTAATCCTTGAATTGTCCTGTCCCTCACTTCACAGTATATAACCCATTTCCTACCTTTCCCATTTTACCTCTAAAATATATCCCTTTGTTTCCATAGTCACTATCACTTTCTGAATCTAAAGTCATTATCCAGTAGCCCTCAAACTGGTTTTCCCACAGTAGTCTTATCCCCTCGGATTCTTGCATGGCCTGCAACTTTTAAAATGCAAATATAAAAAACAAAACAAAATAAAATAAAATACAATTATCACTCCTCCAGCTACGACTTTTCTTTGGATTGTCAGTACCCTTAGAATAAGAAGCAAAATACTAGGGACCATTAATAAAACTGTACATGCCCTCTGTCTCTATCATCCTCTTTACTCCTAACATCGTGGACCTTCTACTTCTAAAATGCTAGGCTCTTTCCTCCTTTATGGCCTTTATTCATACCCCTCTGTTCCCTCTTTGGGAATACGAAAAGTTCTTCCCTTCCTGCCCCTAAAGTCCCATTTCTAGCTATTTATCATTTAGTTCTCTGTTTAACCAATACTTCCTCCAGAATGCATTTCCTGGGTCTCTGGACAAAGTCAATTTTATTAATTATACTCTCACAAAGCACTCTTTACTCGTGCATCACAATCCTCAGTGCATTTGTAATTACTCTGGTGTCTGCTTTCCACAAAAGATAATAAGGGACACAATGGCAGCAGGCAAGTCTGTCTTGTTTACAATTGTATCCCTTAATCTTATCGAACACTATGGTTACCAAAAGTGGGCCAACTATGATATTGATAAATGTTTGTTTAAATAATTAACATAAAAATGGTTCTGGTTTACTTTCTAACTTGATAATAGCTTATAATTTGTAGAGATATGTACATAAAACTAATTCAAGACAGACTGTGGTAGCTTTTTATAGTAAATAAGCAAAAAAATTACTTGATTCTGTAAGAAAGATAACCAATTCTGGAAGGGGAACACATAAGATGAGGAAAAGCCCATATAAAGAAAGCTTCTTTCTGATGCTGGGATATGAATGAAGCCATGGAGGGTTAACATGACTTCAACAAAGCAAAGGGTAAAAAATATTCTAGGGAGAGACAAATTTGGGCAAAGCCACAGACACAGTCAGGGTATATATAGATTGGTAGACAATTGTGCCTGAGGAGGGAGAGATATTGAAATACAGCAAATGGGCACACTGTGGAAAGCTTTCATTACTAGAATTAAACTGTCTCTCAAGGAGAACCACTGAAAATTTCATCACTGAAGAATGATGAAGACAGCAAAAATATGTTAACAAATTAGGATGAAGGTGTGGAAACTAACTAGTAAGCTATTTCATTATTTCAGGGGAAGGGAAGGAGGAAAGGAGAAAAAATAATTCTGCAGTAGAACAGACAACATTGCTCCAATGGGGAAGGGGTATGCCATTGACTAAATGGAAAACCAAAACCAAAAAAAGATGGAGGAAGGATGGGAGACGGTGATTTCTGTTTTGGAAACTCTAAATTTTATGTCCTTATATAATGTTGAGCAGGTAAAGTATAGACCCAAGAGAGAAGATGCAAGTAAATTTCAGAAATTGTTAGGCTCAGGGAAATTTTAATTGGTCTGTAATCAATTAAGCATTAATGCAAAGGCTTGAGAAACATGTCAAAAGTTTTTTCGCGAACACATTTTTTTTTAAAGATTTATTTATTTATTTGAAGAGAGGGAGCATGAGTGGGAGGCGCAAAGGGAGAGGGAGAGAGATTCCCAAACAGACTCCATGCTGAGCACGGAGCCCAATCCAGGGTTTGATCTCAGGACCCTGAAATCACAACCTGAGCTGAAACCAAGAGTGGAATGCTTAACCAACAGCACCACCCAGGTGCCCCTCACAAACACATTTTTATGAATAATGAAAAAATACAAAAAATAATAAAAGTTTTTTTAAAATTAGTGCCTGAGTTTTAAGTATACCCTATACCTAATTTTTATTTTATATGGTTAGGAACAAAGCTCCTCAATTTTACCTTAAGTTCATTCTGTTTAAAATAGTTAAATTCCTACAACTGTTGGTATGGAAGGAACTCACTTATAAATGCTGACTTTCTCTATGCAGTAGAAGAATATCCTTTGTGTTTATAAAAGAATTCCAGTCTTTATAACAGGCTCTGTCCAAAAGTTAAGAATGATGTAAAAAAGTTTTTAAAAGGTCACTCTAATTTCAAAAATGTAACATCTGAAAGTATGCCATCTTTAATTATCAGGAGAATATCTGAATAATAAAATGTAACACTTACTTTTGCTGCACCTATCTGTTCTTTGCGAAATTTCTCAAGTGGAGCAATTAATACATCATTTGCGTTTTGAATCTGAAATTAAAAATGCAAATACATTAATTTCTGTATAATTTCATGCAATATTAAAAAAAACAGCTCCTTTATTCAACTTACTTAAACAGTTTTTGTTCTCTTGATAGCTTCTATAAATGAAATAAAAATATCTTATATGTTGTATAGTATTTTCTACGTTGTAAAGTTGTTTTCACAAATTATTTCACTTATTCCCAACAATAATGTGAATAATAAAAAACAAATACATATATTGAGATCCTCATCTGAATATTTACTTTCATATTCTAAGGTTCAACTAAGAAATAGCACAGATATTAAATTTACAAATACCTTTAATTATATTGGTTTAATGCAGTCAGTTTAAGCATCGGTTTAAAATTGAACAATATAAAGGTCTTCTTTTTTTTTTTTTTAGAATTTTTTTTAATTTATTTTTTTATTTATTTATGATAGTCACACAGAGAGAGAGAGAGACAGGCAGAGGGAGAAGCAGGCTCCATGCACCGGGAGCCCAACATGGGATTCAATCCCGGGTCTCCAGGATCGCGCCCTGGGCCAAAGGCAGGCGCCAAACCGCTGCGCCACCCAGGGATCCCATATAAAGGTCTTCTATTTGCCACTAGAATGTTATTCTACAGCTGCAAAATACAATAAGGCTCATTTTTTCTATTTAATTAGATTTCTTACACTTGGAATTTGCCTGAATGTTCATATATTTCCAAACCTACTAAAATAGTACCTGATTTCATTTCAGTGAACAGCATATTAGCTCCAAACTCCAAACTGGGATTTACTTACACTTTAAAACAGATAAATATTTTTCTCTGGATCTGTAAGAATATTGTGAAGAAGGAGTTTTCGGTGTGGGAGCCAGAGACTAAATGCAAGAAACAGACATTTCTAAGAAAAACAATATGGTGGGAGGTAATCTTCAACAGAAGAAACCTTTAGAAAGCATTCATATTAAACACAGACTCTTAATGTTCTCACACACAAAAAAAATAGTAATTATGTGACAGGATAGAAGTGTTAGCTAAGGCCATGATGGTAATCATTTGGAAATACATATGTGTGTCAAGTCAACCCACACACTTTAAACTTAACACAGTATTATATGTCCATGATATCTCAATAAAGATGAATGGATATTTATAGTTAACAAACAAAATTTATAATTTACTACTGTGATAATATGATCCATTATATAATTAGCAAATGCTAAGATGAAAACTCTATTTTTAAAATATATAACTACTTTAAAATAGGTTAAAGAGTATATGAGTTTCTTATATCATCTTCTGACTTTGCCATAAGTCTAAAATTATATCAAAATTCTAAAATTTCAATAAAAATGTTTTACTTTCACTTAGTTTCACTGAACTTATTGTTCTCTAGTTAAGTTTTTTTTAATAATAATTTTTTATTGGTGTTCAATTTGCCAACATACAGAATAACACCCAGTGCTCATCCCATCAAGTGCCCCCCCTGAGTGCCCGTCACCCATTCACCCCCACCCCTCGCCCTCCTCCCCTTCCACCACCCCTAGTTCATTTCCCAGAATTAGGAGTCTTTATGTTCTGTCTCCCTTTCTGATATTTCCTACCCATTTCTTCTCCCTTCCCTTCTATTCCCTTTCACTATTATTTATATTCCCCAAATGAATGAGAGCATATAATGTTTGTCCTTCTCCAATTGACTCATTTCACTCAGTATAACACCCTCCAGTCCCATCCACGTTGAAGCAAATGGTGGGTATTTGTCGTTTCTAAAGGCTAGTTAAGTTTTATTTCTCAAATTCCATATCTAAGTGTACAAAGATAGTAAACCCAAAAATGAAAACTAGAGTGTTAGTGCCTTCCATGATTATCATTCTCTAATTCCCAGAAAAATATGACGGATCTTGAAAAGAAAACTTAAAATCTTTGTATAAAGACATATAAAGTAGATCAATACTCAAAATCTCTTCTAAGACATCAACAATCAACTTTAGATACCTCTGACATCCATCACTGATTCCCTTTGTGAGCTCAGACAGGCATCTCTCCTGATGTACTATGTAGGCATCTTTCTAGAGAGAGATGAGTGGAAAGTAGCAAAGTAGTTCACTTTTAATTCTCACACACTAAATCTTTGCTCTCATGAAATTCCAAATACATAAACACACTCACATCCAGAGTTTACAGAGGTAATAAATACCTGATTCTGCCTTTACACTAAAGTTTACCCAAGGAGGAAGACAGTGTCATGAACACTTATGTGTAATTTGGAAAAATGGTAACAATAAAGGCTAACATTTATTGAATGTTTATGTTATGCTGGAAATAAGCACCATCTAATATATTTAAATTTAGTGAATTTAAAAATATTTCTCAAATGGAAAACTCCAACAATGACGCTGAGTAAGATGATATGCAATATACAACACAAGTACATATATTTAAAACCAAGAATACCTGGGTTTAAACTGGAGCCTTTTGCTACAAGCTGCTGTTTAATCATTCTGAGTGCCAGCTGTACCACTGCCTCCGCAACTTAACTTGTTCTAAGGACTAAGATAATGAATGCAAAACACTTAGTTCAGTGACTTACATATAGTTAAGCGCTCAAAATTTATACCTTTTAATATCTCCAAACTGACAGAGATAATCTCATTCTGTATTTACCTACTGATACATTTCTGTATCTGAATCTACAGTATTACCCTTCAGTTAAAGTGTATCTATATGCACATTATGAGAAGGTATTTTACCATAAAAGTCCTGAAAGGAAGACAGCCTGGACTCTCCCATGTCCAATCAATCACTAGGTATTTATGTATATGTCAAGCACATTGTGGAAATCTATGAGAAAAGGAAAAAACTAAGACATGAACTAAACCTTCCAGAAATTTAATGTCTACTTGAGAAGAGAGGAAAATTTTATTCATTCAACAAATATTTGATGCTCTTAAAACACTGCTAAAATTTTTCGAAAAATTGAAAGACAAAATCAATTAGTTTTACATGATACTGAGAACTACTCATAAATAAATACATCAGAATTTTAGCAACAGTAAAGATCCTTGAGAACTAAATGAGTCAAGGAAGTATTTGGAGGGTGAATGTGAACTGGATACACTGAAGAGACAAAAATATTCTAGAAACAAGGAACACCATAAATAAAGGCAAGGGGGTAAGACTAAGTCTGATATGTAGGAAAAGCGTGCAGTGCAGAAAAAAGATATATATATGTTCTTGATTTTATGATGAATTTAACATAGTACTTTCCACATAGTAAACACTCAACAAATCGTATCTATTGTTGTTTATATTAGATGTTTTTTCTCCTCTTTCTCATTTTTTCTGTTTAGTACGTCTGAAATTTATTTATTCTTTCAGTTTCACATTAATAGAATGAGTAGGAGAAAGAAAGAGGAAAAAAATGAGCAAATCCAAAAACAAAAAAAAATGAAGAAATATAGGAGATATAGAAGATATAATATTTATTAAAAATCAAGATTAAAACTGATTTTATATGAGTAATGAAGTTCAAAATCTAAAAATCATCTGTAATGTTTTAAACACATGAATATTAAAAACTAGACCCAGTTCCATTTTAACTTCAGCATCAAAACGGCTAAGTCTCAGGGTCTTAACCCCCGTACCTCTTAAGGTTTTTATAAAAATGAAAGGAGAAATATACATATTTTTGAAAAACAAGCATAGATTTGAGATATGGCAGCCTTTCGAAAAATGGTTCCTTCTTCACAGAATTTACAATGTCTACTATGTGTTCAGTCTTAGAATTTCCCATGACTTGAAGTGTAGTTATTCAAAGGTAGGAACTGAATTGAAATTAATTTAACAAAACAATACTAATCTATAGTAGATAGCCAAGAACCTATTTTTTTCTTAAGCCAGTATAACATATGTGTGGTTTTACATTTGAAATATTATGTTTTTTTGGTGTACAACAAACCGCTGTTCACCACAGCTGATTCTAAACTCAAGACATCAAAATGGAAATGCCAACATCATTTTCCAAAGGACACAAAGTGGATTTACAACCCAATTTGGCTTCTTCTGACCCTTATCTTTGTACATCACCCAGGGGAGGCATGCCTTTCATCCGCACAAACTGGTCAATCACATGGACAAAATTCTTCAATTCTGAAATCATCCAAGTACATATTAAAGAAGGTGCTTACTTTTTGGTAGGTTTACAACACCTATTTTTGCTACAGCATAATAAAGGAAAATGAGATATAAAAGTGTAGAAAACTATAATTAAAAATGTGAATCAGGATACAATTCTGGTGACTTCACTTTCATAAGGTCTGAAAAAACATCTAGAGAAATGAAATTCTGGCTCACTTCAACTCTTTCTCCCCAGATTTTTCAGTAAGAGTCTTGATGAAACTTCTTCCAGAAGGTAATTCCAGGCCGGGGCGGGGGGAGGGGTGTGTGTGTGTGTGAAGTCACAGAGTTCAGGAGATTCAAGATCCCATAATATTTGTGGAATGTGTTACTTTGCATGAACTTACTAAAAGGCTTTAGGAAAAATACAAAACCAATTTTAATATTCTCCCTAGATATTGATAATGTAAAATCTTAAAAAGGTCTTAGTAAGTTGATTGTATTTTATTTTCTGAAGTAAGACCTTTTTAAGATTTTACATTATCTTACAATTTTATTATCTTACAATTTAAATATCTTACAATTCTTAACCATTTATAATTCTAAACTTTGGATAAAAGTAATTTATTTTTATAGATATTGGTCCATTTAAAAAATCAAATTATCTGCTATTTCACTTATTTTCTGTAGCAGAGAAGCAAATCTGATATTGGACAATACTTTATGATACTGCATTTACTGAGTAAACACACTTGAACTGTGGGTGCAGTGTGTAACTTATATAAAGCCAGGCAATTAAGTTTTTACTTACCTTTTCTTTTGCTGTTTCAAGTGGTTCTAATATGTAGCCACCAGGAAGTGCTCATAAATCACCCACAAAAAGAAAGTTCTTATGTGATTAGA